CGGATCCCAGGACTCAAACCCGTGTAGAGGACCAGATCAGTAAAGCATTTACCTTAGCATCAGCCACCTAAGTCCTAACCCATGTTCCAAGGATCGGAGTATATATTGGAGTCAAATCCATGTGACATGTGGCAAAAAGTCACTTGAGGCCGGCGACACGACAAGCAAAGCAACACTTATAGTGCCAAACCTCTCGTGCATCAACCAACTCATTCAGCAATGTGCAAACAGCTGAGGGGAACTCTTCCCAGAGGCATCATGAGAGCGGACGAAGTCGAAGTCGAAGACGAAGTCTTGGACCTGGCATCTCGAAATGAACCACAATCAGGCCCTACACCAATTCTGAGCAACTGCTGCTAAGGCAGCTGCCTCCAAGCCATTCGAGCAGCTCTGGCATGGAGCCTGTCCATATCTCACCAATTACCGTGTTCATTCAGCAAACAGTAGAGGCACCTCCTTCGCAGACGAAGTCGAGATTGTGGACCTGACCATCATCTAATTTCCGACCAGGCCGATAAAAAGCTGCGAAACTAGCTCAGGCGCTGTCTCCATGACGAAGATGGCATAAACGACCTCACTGAGCGGGATTTCATTAATCGGAAGCTGGTAGAATCTAGGCTGTTGGCCTTGTCCAAATCAAAGTCGAAGGATGTGACCTGGCCGTGCCAGGCATTGGAATCGACACGAATGCTGCTGCCTTTCACCTACCTCGAAGCTGACCGAAGCCGAAATCCAGGACCTGGCAACCAAGCGGGAAACACACTCGAAATCAAGAGCCACGCATTTGCCTCCCAAACCATCAGGGTCATGACGTCGTCCACCATGATAGACCTGGCATCTGGAAGCACAAAGATGAAGAATGTCATGTGATTGGGGTGGAATCAGGGCCCGAAAGCTCTCCTGATAAATGTGTTGCTGGGGCCCACACTGGAGCTCACCCAGCAGAGTTTAACCAGGGCCCAATCGAGCACACCTGGTTGCTGGGGCCCACACTGGAGCTCACCCAGCAGAGTTTAACCAGGGCCCAATCGAGCACACCTGGTTGCTGGGGCCCACACTGGAGCTCACCCAGCAGAGTGAAACCAGGGCCCAATCGAGCACACCTGGTTGCTGGGGCCCACGGAGCTCACCCAGCAGGGTTACCAGGGCCCAAATGAGCACACCTGGTTGCTAGGGCCCATGACGGAGCTCGCCCAGCAGAGTGAAACCAGGGCCCGAGTGAGCACGCCTGGTTACTGGGGCCCATGACGGAGCTCGCCCAGCAGAGTTTTACCAGGGCCCGAGTGGGCACGCCTGGTTACTGGGGCCCACGATGGAGCTCGCCCAGCAAAGTTTGACCAGGGCCCGATTGGGCACGCCTGGTGGTCACTGGGGCCCACGATGGAGCTCGCCCAGCGATACTGGGGCCCAAAGGGGCTCACCCAGTGATTGGGGCCCGAAAGAACAGAGCTCGCCCAATCAGCACCCCCAAACCCAACCTGTAACACCCCGAAACCCCCGGGGTTTGCCCCCGGCCTCCTCTCCACGTGGTGTCCGCGGTCTACGATGGGGTTTCGGGCTTTAATAAGGGTTCAGGGTTTAGGGGTTTTGGCTTTCGGGGGACGACTTAATGGGTTCGATATTAGGACTTATCATTATTATCAGGTGGATTTTGAGATTTGTGGGTTTCGCCTTCGTTATTTATGTTTGTGTTTTATAATATGAGTCGAGGTCCTTTTTATTGGGGGATTTTCAGGTTCGTGGGTTTCGCCTGAGTTAATCCCACCACTTAGGAAGTTCATGGTTTAGGGATGGTTAGGGGTTTAGGGTTTCTTGATTTTTGATTGTTGTTGCTGATTAGTGATTAGTTGGGTCATTGGGGGTTCGGCGGGACCCTGAACACCCCCAAGCCACACTCCCAACTTACACCCGAAATCCCTACAGTACACTTAAACCTTGATCCCCTCAACTCCAAATGCATACCAGAAGTTTTGAACCCCAACAACCCTTAAGGAACCTTGACCTATGAATATTGCACCACCCAACCCCTAAGTTCAGGAACCCCCAAATCCATATAGGTTCACGACCACACCCTTCTGAACCCTCAACCCTGGTCCCCTACCCCGGACCCCTAAACCATGACCATAACTGCCAACCCTGAATTTCTGAATCCCAAAATCCCAAGACACTTGAATCCTATGGCCGTGCCGAAACCCCACCAAAACCCTGAAAATAAAAATTGAAGCTCACTCACGCCCCGCCTGAAGACCATGAAGATGTAGCACACGACGAAGTCGAAGGCGATACAAGCCAGACCCGCAACCGCGCTTTAGAAATAATCGCGATTATCTAAATACCGAAATCAATAGCAGTGACAAAAGCTTCAAGTTTCATGATGCCAATGCGAATACGAAGGCGAAGTCGAATACCGCTACTACCACTGCTACTGAAGTTGTGAGATTTCAAAGGATACAAACTCTTATGAGCAATGCCACTCAAAGCTAAGCTAAAAACTGCAATTGTACCAAAATATCAGAATGATCATAATCAGAAGGGTAATATTTGTCATCATGACGATACTCATCATCACCATCATAAACACCATAATGCAAAACAAATAGTCGAATAATACGATAAAATACAGCATTACCTAATATCATCTGGCATATTCCAATAATTATAGCATATCAGACATGTATCACAAAATGTCCTAATATGCCATGTAATATTCACTCACTGTTGTATAAACATGGAATATGAATATGTACACCATATATATTATTACAGAACAGCACTGATGTAATATATAAAATCAATATGCAGACCAATTGTTATTATTACTGTAACATGATATAGTAATAAATGGTGAGGCACAGTAAAATATTATAGGATTTCAGACAGTATGATCTGATATAAGATTGTAATATTATGCTATAATTAAGATAGACAAATGTTAATTTTAGCAAAATGCTATACCATATAAACCATAACATCATCCATATGTTATATATATACATATACACATGTATATATATACACATGTATATATATATATATATATGCCTATTGACTAATAAATAAAGACTACTACCAGTAACAATCCTATCAGTATGACATAATCATAATCATAATAATGATGCTAAGGTTAATAATAAATAATATTATTAATAGAAGTAATACTAATAATATTAAGTTCAGAATACCTTAATAATGCTAGTAATACTGATATTAAAATAATAATACTAATAATACCTTAGAACACTAATATTACCAATAATACTAATAATACCAATAATACTAAGATACTAAAAACAATAATACTACTAAGAATACCAATATTACTGATAATACAACAATAATACCAATAATACTAATACTACTACTAATAATAATAATAATAGTAATAATAATAATAGTAATAATAATAATAGTAATAATAATAATAATAATAGTAATAATAATAATAGTAATAATAATAAAAATAATAATAGTAATAATAATAATAATAATAGTAATAGTAATAATAATAATAATAATAATATAATAATAATAATAGTAATAATAATAATAATAATAGTAATAATAACAATAATAATAATATAATAATACTAATGATAATAATATTAATATTTATTAATGCTGGGGGGGGTTTGGGGGGGGGGTTCGGCGAAGGGCGCCGGGGTTCGACGAAGTTCGTGCGGGGGTCGTCCCTTCCCCCGCTTCGGCTTACCCCTCTCCGTTTTGCCCTGATTAATGAAAGAAATGCATGTTTGGAACAGCAAAGAAAAGAACGGAAAAGGGTTGAATAGAGAAGACGGGGAGACAAAACAAGGCGCAAAGAAGATGACACGCTCTTTTACCTATCCTTTCTCCTTTATCTCTCTGAAATAAGAAAAAACAAAAAGGACAATTATGAAATGGAGAAGGGTAAGAAAAGGAACAGAAGGGATAGGCCGATGATTTTCTGACAGAATAGCAGTAGCCGCGTGGGCTTCGCATATGGCGTGCCAAAACTAGCTTGGTGAAAAGCCACGGTACGTTTCAGAAGGTCGGCTAGCACCGGCCATGGGCAACCAAGTCCTCAGGCTGCTCCGTAGCGAGAAAAAGGTGGTCGCTCCATCAGCTACCAGATTAAATACCTCGAAGGAGAAGTCAGCGAAGATGTTCCCGAGAATAGCGCGGTCCCTTTCCGCGGGGGATAGCGCTTCCAGCCCGCGTGGATGCTCGTAGGCGCGAGTCGGCCTCGACCCGGCAAAATTAGCCCAGGTAGTTCTTGAAAAGGTAGCGCAGGGCGGCGACAGCAGAATAACCGCGAACTCCGCTTTGTCGAATCTTTGGCTGGTAGCCTTGGCCATCCCCTTCCTGAGGGATAGCAGCCGTTGGCGTTCCAACGCGGCAGTAGCGTGTCGGGGTCGAACTCGTCCCGGATGAGGACCTCGGGGCTCGGCTCGGAGCTCTCCGCTCTCGAGCTCCGCTAGCGCCGCTAGCTTCGTCTCAATGTATATTCCTTTGCGCGGATGTGCTTGTCCTCTAGCTCGCCAAACTTTGTTGTGAAGGCTTGGCGCATAGCGATGCAATCGGTTTCGCCCAATCCCTGATCTCATTTGTAGCCTCGGCCTCCGCCTGCCGCTCGGCACTCGGCTCCAGCGCCACGCTGTCCTGTAGCATCTTCTTGAGATCATCTTCGTCCGTAGCTGAGGCTGCGAACTTAGCAACGGTATCAATACCGTTCGAAAATAGCTCCGCTTGGATGTCATCAGACACTTTGTGGTGCACTAGCAAGAACCGGAGCTCGCTGGATCCGAGGGCTAGCTTCCTTGCCAGCTCCTCTCCCATGGTAGCAGCCTATTGGCCCTCGCCACCTGCTGGTAGCTGGGAGTGCGTGTGAAGTGGGAGGGTCCTAGCACGTGCTACATGAACAGTGTTGCTGTAGCGGGGCGGTACGGGTTGAAAACCCCCACCCCAATTTAAGCCATTACCCCCCCCCCCCCCGCTCCCCATTCCCCCGCAGTGTTCGAGTCCAGAAGGCTAGACACCAGGGCGATGATGGCCACAGTGAAGAAGAAGTTCCAGTGAACTCCTGGAGTATCTGCGTCTGTGCTCTCCGTCTTAAACTCAACAGCCGAGGACCCGCGCCATACTCGGAAACCGGCACGTGATAATCCTGGCTGAGCGGCTGAGCGGCGCTGATTTCTCTCGACTCTTCTCTGGGCCGCGCGCGAGCTGCCAGAGCAGCGCGCCGCGCAGGGCCCCCAGAGCCACGGCCGGCCTCCGCTCGTCTCTTCGCTTGCAAGCAGGCGCCCCTTCTACCCTGTGCCCGGCCAAAGCTTCCGAAGGACGGAGACGACGGATCGAAGGGCCCAAAGCGTTCTCTCAGGCGCCCTTCTCGACCTCATGGACACCTCCAGAGCTGTGAGCTGCGCTTGGCTTGCTTGGCTTCTTGGGGCGGCCACGGCCGTGGCGACCACGATGCAGCCCGTTCCAAGATCCATCAACGCGTAGCCGAACCTCGCTCTGCAGAAAGAGTGATGCGGCCCTCTTGATAAATTCTGAAAACAGAGGCTCCATTAGAAAGTTTGGGCTGCGAGCGTTTCGGTCTTGGCGTGCTCTCGAGGATAAAGCGCTGCGAAGTCAACCTGAAGAGCAGAGCAGCAGAGCAGCAGAGCTGAGGGTTTGAAGCCTCTGCTCCGGAGGCTTCAGCCGCGCACCGCGAGGATGACGATGCAGGTTGAGATCATCACCTGAGAGCCCCCCCAAGCCCACAAAAGAAAGGCGAGCAGAGAGCAAAGAGCAAAGAGCTGACTGTCGTCTGTCACGGCCATGGTCCAGGCAAAGGCACGGTACTCGGCCAGAAACCGGAGCCGGCCTCAAGGGACAGGGGCGAGAAAGCGCAAAGCGCTGCGGCCTTCGCGGCCCGGAATCGCATCGCATCCGAGCCGTTTAAACGGCCCTAAAGCAGGCCTTCTGCCTCGGAGAAGACGAAGGTCTGAGACTCCTTCTGAGAGAAGAAAAAACCGGAGACGTGCCCAGGGCTGGTTTTATGCGGTCCTCTGCCTCGGCTCGTGCCTCCTTGAGGCTCTGAGTCTGTCTCCTGCGGGCGAGGGAGAGGGACAGGGAGAGGGCGGTTGAAACTCTCATCCGTCCGCTACGGCTTTTTTCATCTCCTGAGTGCAAGCAGCTGAGGTCCGAAGAGAGCGAAGGCGCGGAAGGAGGCGCTGCCAAAGACGAGAGCCCTCAGCTAAGCGCAGACAGCGAAGCGGAAGACGAGTCAAGACGAGGGGAGCACCTGAGCACTCGTCCCTCAGCTTCGCTCTGAGGTCGCTGCATTGGGAGCAGGCTGAAGGCATCCAGCACCGCAGCACCCAGGAAGGCCTGGGCAAGGTCAGCGCTTCCAGGAAAGCTTCCAGCATCATCTTGTCAACGTCCCTTTCGGGAGGCCGGGAAATTCGTCTAGATTCCGGAGGGAGAAAGCTCGAAAGCAGCATGCATTAACCAATGTATACCCCTGAAGGGCCAAAGTCTAGAGTCTAGAGGCAACCAACACGCACACACACAGACACACACAGACACACACAGACACACACACACACAGAGACACAGACAGAGACACAGACACTGACACAGACACTGACATAGAGACACACACAGAGACACACAGACAGACAGACACAGACAGACACAGACAGACACAGACAGACACAGACACACACAGACACACACAGAGACACACAGAGACACACACACACACACACAGAGACAACAGAGGAGACACACAGAGACACACACAGAGAGACACACACAGAGAGACACACAGAGAGACACACAGAGAGACACACAGAGAGACACACAGAGAGACACACACAGACACACAGAGACACACAGAGACACCGAGACACACAGACAGACAGACAGACACAGACGGACACAGACGGACACAGACAGACACAGACACACACAGAGACACACACACACAGAGACACACAGAGAGACACACAGAGAGACACACAGAGAGACACACAGAGAGACACACAGAGAGACACACAGAGAGACACACAGAGACACACAGAGACACACAGAGAGACACACAGAGACACACAGAGAGACACACAAAGACACACACACACACAGACACACACACAGAGACACACACACACAGAGACACACACACACACAGACACACACACACAGACACACACAGACACAGAGACACACACAGAGACACACACGGCGAGACACACACGGACACACACAGAGAGACACACAGAGAGACACACAGAGAGACACACAGAGACACACAGACAGAGACACACAGACAGAGACACACAGACAGAGACACACACAGAGACACACACAGAGAGACACACAGAGAGACACACAGAGAGACACAAAGAGAGACACACAGAGAGACACACAGAGAGACACACAGAGACACACACAGAGAGACACACAGAGAGACACACAGAGAGAGACACAGAGAGACACACAGAGAGACACACAGAGACACACAGAGACACACAGAGACACACAGAGACACACAGACACGGCGGAGCGGTTTTTTTTTCCTAGGTCTGGCCCTCCCCGGCTTGCTTTCCTAAGTCTGGCCCACTGGTTGCCAGCAGCGGCAACTGCGGTCTTTGCTGCATCAAGCTATTGGGGAACTAGAATTCGACGGCTCTGGTTTTGCTTCTGTCTTGCATGAAGCTATTGGGGAACTACAACTTGCGGAGTTTGATTTTGCTTGTGTTTAGCATCAAGTTGTTGGGGAACCACAAGTTGCAGGGTTCGGTTTTTTTGTGTTTTGCATGAAGCTATTGGGGGGTTCGCATTTGCAGGGATCGGTGTTGCTTGTGTTTTGCATCAAGCTATTGGGGAACTACAATTCGCAGGGTCTTCTTCTGCTTGTGTTCTGCTTGAAGCTATTAGGGAACTAGAATTTGCGGTGTGTTCATCTGCTTGTCTTTTGCATGAAGCCACTAGGGAACTACAATTTGCGGTGTGTTCTTGTGCTTGTGTTTTGCATCAAGCTAATGGGGGAACTACAATTTGCGGGGTCGGCCTTGTTTGTGTTTTGCATCCAGCTATTGGGGAACTACAATTTGCAGAGTCTTTTATTGTTTGTGTTTTTCATCAAGCTAATGGAGAACTAGCATTCGCAGGGTCTGGTTTTGCTTGTGTATTGCATGAAGGTATTGGAGCACTACAATTTGCAGGGTCGTGTTTCGCGTGTGAATAGTGCGAAATGCCAATTTCAAATGGATGGATTTTTTTTCTGGTATTTTTTTTTTTTTTGTTTTGGGTCTTCTTTTTTTTTTGCTGCTGTTCCTTGGTTTTTCCTAGGGAAAGCACTAGTTTCCTTAGCTTTTGGACGGATCTGGCGTCATGTTCCTTGGTTTTCCCTAGGGAAAACACTAGTTTCCTTGCGTTTTGGGCAGATTGGGTGTGATTTTCCTTCGTTTTCGTAAGGAAAACATATTCTTGTTTTGATTTTCCCTAGGGAAAACACTGTTTTTTTCTTACATTTTCGACGGATTTCATGTTGTAGGGAGAACGTATTTTTTACCATCGTGGACGGACTTCGTGTGATTGTCTTTGGTTTTTTCCAACAAGATCCTACAATACTGCGAGCGAAGCGTATGTAACCTTGCGTTTTTCCAGGGGATAAACCGTTTGCCGTACATTTTGGACATTCAGCCCCCCCCCGTTTGCAAACCTTCCAACATGAACTTTGTTTTGCTCGCTTATACCCTCCTAAAGCGATTTCATGTGGCTCGACAACTTAGGAAAGCGGGCAGTTTGCAGTTAAACAACGGGGGGGTTGGGGGGCGCAGTCCCCCACATTTGCAAACCTTCCAACACGAGCTTTGCTTTGCTCGCTTTTACTATATTGAAGCGATTTCATGTGGCTGGACAACTTAAGAAAGCGGGCAGTTTGCAGTTAAAATAGCGGGGGGGTTGTTGCAAACCTTTCAACATGAGCTTTGCTTTGCTCGTTTTTACCACCCCTAAAGCGATTTCATGTGGCTCTCCCTCTCTCCGTTATCCAAAGAGATGCATGCTTTCGTTTTACTTTGTTTTCTTGGTCTTGCCCTCCCAAAGCGAGCACGTGTGGCTTTCTCCCTTTTGCCTGTCGGTGAAGACGTTTCATTCGTGAGAAGAAAACGGCGGGGTTGGGGGGGCGGCGCAGACCCCCCCATTTGCAAACCTTCCAACATGAACTTTGTTTTGCTCGGTTTACCCCCCCTAAAGCGATTTCATGTGGCTCGACAACTTAACAAAGCAGGCAGTTTGCCGTTAAAAAAAGCCGGGGGTTGGGGGGGGGGCGCAGCCCCCAATTTGCAAACCTTCCAACATGAGCTTTGCTTTGCTCGCTAAAGCGATGTCATGTGTCTCGACAAGTTAAGAAAGCGGGCAGTTCATGTGGCTTCTCCCTCTCTTCGTTTTCCACAGAGCCTCGCGTTGTCGTTTTACCTTTGTTTTCTTGTTTCTTGCTCTTGGCTTCCCAAAGCGAATACATCTGGCTTTCGCCCTTTTGCCTGTCGGTGAAGACGTTCCATTCATGAGAAATCTTGTATTCTTCGAATTTTAAATCCCCTGAAGTGTTTTCGTGTAGCTTTGTCCTTGTTGTGCCTGTGGCTCGACAACTTAAGAAAGCGGGCAGTTTGCAGTTAAACAACGGGGGGGTTGGGGGGCGCAGTCCCCCACATTTGCAAACCTTCCAACATGAGCTTTGCTTTGCTCGCTTTTACTATATTGAAGCGATTTCATGTGGCTGGACAACTTAAGAAAGCGGGCAGTTTGCAGTTAAAAAAGCGGGGGGGTTGGGGGGGCGCAGCCCACCCCCTTTGCAAACCTTTCAACATGAGCTTTGCTTTGCTCGTTTTTACCACCCCTAAAGCGATTTCATGTGGCTCTCCCTCTCTCCGTTATCCAAACGCCTGCATGCTTTCGTTTTACTTTGTTTTCTTGGTCTTGCCCTCCCAAAGCGAGCACGTGTGGCGTTCTCCTTTTTGCCTGTCGGTGAAGACGTTTCATTCGTGAGAAGAAAACGGGGGGGATGGGGGGGGCGGCGCAGACCCCCCCAACCAGCGGACCAGGGACCAGGGGACCGGAGGACCAAAGGACCAGGGGACCAGGACCAGAGGACCAAAGGGCCAGGGGACCAAGGGACCATGGGACCAGACCTAGCAAGGCCCCCCAGACCAGGCCAGACCTAGGAAAAAAAAAACAGTGGACCCACACAGACACACACAGACACAAAGAGACACACAGAGACACACAGAGACACACAGAGACACACAGAGACGCACAGAGACACACACACACACACACACAGACACACACACACACACACAGACACACACACAGACACACACACACACAGACACACACACACACACACACACACACACACACACAGACACAGAGACACACACTGACTGATTCGGCCGAGAGCACGAGTGCAGAAGGAAAGAGAGCCGATTGCCTGCAGGAACAAAGTGCGATCCCGCCCCGACAGGGGCTGTGTGTGTGTGTGAACCTCCCTAGCACATGGGAGCAGAGGGTCACTCCTTTCCGTCGGCTTTGATGCCATTTTGAAACACATTATTTTGGAAACACATGATTGTATGCAGGGGAGTGCGGCATGGCTGTGGGACCGCACTCAACGAAGCTACCACAGTCATGGGATACCGAGTCTGATCAACTCGGCGTACCTGCAAACCTTTTGGCAGCCCCCTGTGGTGCCGAGATTAGTTTCAGGACAGGCCCCCTGTGGTGTCCAGATCCGTCAAACTTTTTACAGTTGTACGTTTGCCGCAATCTGACAAGCACATGCAGCAAGTTCAACATGACTGTAGGGTGCACAACATCATATGGAGCAATAGACTCAGAAGACCAAGGCTCACGGGATGGTGATCGATGACGGGCTGTAGGTGCCGGTGTAGATGTCGTAGGAGAAGCTGATGACGTTGAATGCGCCGAACATGGTTTCTTCTGTTTTGACTTCTTCGGCTTTTTGTGAAGATGCTTCATGCGTGGTGGTGTTGTCGATGCTCTGGTAGATGTTCTTCTCCGACGTTTGTCCTTCTTCTTGGTCTTGCGGCTGGCGCACTTGTGCGTCTTAGAAGGTTTGCGGCTTGATGAAGGTTTTTCGGTCTGCATGAATGTAGCGAGTTCATCGGAGTTCCACGAGCTGATCTCGTCCTCTGCTGCTGTTGTCTTTTCAGTCGTGGTAGTAGATGTGATAGTGCCTGCAGTGTTAGTATTCTTGGTGATGCTCGAGGAGGCGCGACTCTGAGAGGCATCTTTCTGCAAGAATGCTTCAAGTTCATCTGATCCCGACGAGCTGATGTCGTCCCCATCTGGGTGCGACG